ACCCTAAACCCTAAACCCTAAACCCTTTTTTCCGTCCTTTGGCCGCGCCGCTCTAGGTCGCCAGGCAGCGGCTTCCCCTCTGGGCGCTAGAGACTTCGAAAAGCTACTGACTTGCATGCATGCATGCATGCGTTTATGCATGCACGCATGCAGCAGGCTAACTTGGGTTTTTGAAGCTTTTGCGAGTTAAGTTTTGTTGTTTTCATTTGTCTACTTCGGGGCCGCCAAGGAAACAAAAAGAAAAGAACAAAGAAACCTCCAAAGCCCCAAGCCCCGCAACTTCGCACAAACCAAAAAACCAACCCTCCATCCACGCATGCATGCATGCATGCATGCATGCATGCATGCATGCATGCATGGGGCTGTACACAGTGTAGTGCATGCATGCATGCCCGCACGCATGCATGCACCAATGGCACCTGCTTGGAAACGCCCATTCACACACACGCCTGTTTGTTTGCATGCATGCACGCGTGCGTGCATGCATGCATCAGTGACCAGTTGCATGCACACGCGCATGCATGCATGCACACACGCATGCATGCATGCATGCATGCATGCATGAGTGCATGCATGCATGCAGCATTTGCGTTCCTTTGCGAGTCCGGCCTAATTGCATTACTGAGTGAGCGGCGGTGCCCGCGTCCGCGGAAACCCCTCGAAAAGCCCCTTTCTGCGCGCATGCGTGCATGCATGCAGGCACGCATGCATGCATGCAGGCACGCATGCATGCATGCAGGCACGCATGCATGCATGCATGCATGCATGCATGCATGCATGCATGCGTGCATGCATGCAGCGCTAGAAAGGCTCGCGGAGCCGCGGGACGCCCCTGAGGCGGGCCCAGCTGAGGCGCTTCAAAGCCCGCAGCTGATGAGTCCAAAACTCTTTTGCCAGCCGCTGCACTCGCGGCCCCGAGAGCCGCAGCGGCTTCCCACGACGCAGCTGCAGGTCCTCCTCCCCTGCAGCAGCAGCAGCAGCAGCAGCAGCAGCAGCAGCAGCGGGGGGAGAGGATGGGATGGCCGCGCGGAGACGTGTGCAAAACCCGCGAAAGCCCCACGCATGGGACACTTGGACGTGCATGCATGCATTCTTGCATGCATGCATTCTTGCATGCATGCATTCTTGCATGCATGCATGCGTGCATGCATGCGTGTTTGCATGCACAAGGAGAGGTTCATAGAGTAAATATAATAAAACAGAAGTATACTTGACAGAGAGAAACCAGGGAATTTGAAAAAGAAATAAAAAAGTCCAATGATGAATTTAAATTAATTAAAGTTTTCATCTTTTTAACTTTTATTCTAGAAGTTAAACAGCAAAATGTAATCTCCAAAAATATCCAAATTTGCTGCACAAGAGAACCTCATAAAACTTCTGCATGCAAACCCTAAACCCTAAACCCTAAACCCTAAACCCAACATAACACCAACGGCTGAGAGCGCCGCAGCAAGAAAACAGCCAGAGCAGCACCATGCACGGAGAACCAGCAGCAGCAGCAGCAGCAGCAGCAGCAGCAGCAACTGGAAAACAAACCATATTCGTCCAAGTGCAAACAGCCCCATTTGGCCCCGCGGTCCCCCACAGCATCCACAGCCACCACCAGCACCGAAGAAGCAGCAAGTTGCAAAAAGAGGCTAAGTCCGAAGCCACACACTGTGGCGTGCTGCAGCGCAGCAGCAGCAGCAGCAGCAGCAGCTGCTGCTGCAGCGGAAGAAGCAGCAAAGCGGGGGCAGCCACGCAGCACACGCAACAGCAGCAGCAACAGCACACGCAGCAGCGACAAAAACGCAGCAAGGGCGAAGCAGACAAAAGAAGCAGCAGCAGCAGCGGCAGCTCGCGCAGCAGCACAAGCAGCAGCAGCAGCAGCAGCTTGAACAGCAGCAGAGAGGGCGGCAGCAGCACAGCGTTGTTGCTGCAGGCAGCAGCAAGCTACCAGCGCAGCAAAGGCATCAACAGCAGCAGCACTGCGAGCAGCAGCAGCGCCCCGCTCCCACTCACACCACAGCAGCAGCAGCAGCAGCAGCAGCAGCATACCCTTCTGAGAGCGGAAAAAGTTGTTGTTTCCTTCTCGAGGCTGCTGACTTCAATCTCGCAGCAGTCAGCAGCACAAAGAAGACAGCCGCAAATGAGGCAAATGCAAATTGAGGCGGAGACGTGGGGGCCCAAGACCGGGGAGGTGAGGCTGCAGCGGAAGCAGCAGCAGCAGCAGCAGCAGCAGCAGC